AAATGTATTGGGACGGATCCGCCTGTGACGTCACCATGAGGTGGGGACTTTGCTATATGGCGAATATAGGAATCGAGCAATCCTCCGTTGTATAGGATCCTGGCCCTAAACTTAGCGTATCCCGCTAGTCACATAACGAATGGGCCACTTCGGTGGGATCGAGAGTCAATTCAGTTCGAATCATTGAGTTCGAACCGACTTCAATGGACAGTGCGGCGTAGAAATACAATCACCAATTCGATGTAGAGGTCAAATCACTGATTCTGTATAGGAATGTAATCCTCAGTTCAATGTGGCCATCTGATCAGTAATTTGACATATTGTGTAATACGAGGTCCCATTACAATTCAGAATGGCCAATTATTAACAAGATTGGTAGCGATAGGCTTGGAATGTGTAGGCTGAGATTTAAGTCTGTTAATCTGTTGGATAAAGGTAAAGTGAAACCCCCCTCAAATCAGTCGATTCGAATAAGACATTTTTTTTAAGGGTATTGGATCGAACCGTCCGAAAATTTAAAGGGGGATTTTGTTTTTTTTTTCCTTAAATTTACCACTTTTTTCTAATTTTCTGGTAATGAAACTATACAACGGATCAATGTGAAATTCGACCTGTAGATTTATTGATATGTTACATATGCATAATAAAATGTTCCATCATTTCCTCACAAAAATATGCGTCTCATCCCCCTCGACGCGCGAAGGTCCCCAGTCGATGGTGTGGTTCGAGTCTTCTCATTAATCCTGCAACAAAAACCCAAGAACATTTTACTTCACACACATGTAGCTATCGTTTAATGAAGTGAAAAAAAAAACAATTGAGGATCCGGCGATTTTTTTAACTCAAACTATCGTTTGATCCAAAAAAATTGACTGATCTTTTTGCTGTTAAAAGAAAAAATATTCAACGTACTGCTTTTTCGCTTCGTTAGATGATAGCGACACGTGTGGGAAGTAAAATATTCTTGGGTTTTTGTTGCAGGATTAATGAGAAGACTCGAACGACGCACACCATCGAGTGGGAACCTTCGCACGCCAAGAGGGGTGGGAGGCGTATTTTTGTGAGGAAACGATTGCAAATTTTGTTATGCATATGTAACATATCAATAAATCTACATGCCAAATTTCACATTGATCCGTTGTATAGTTTCTTCACCAGAAAATGAGAAAAAAGCGGGAAATTTACGGCACTCTGCAGTCAATTAGGGCATAAAAACCCTTGAATCGAGGAGATTTCGGGAGTTTTACTTCGATTTCTGTATAATTATTGTACGGAAATGGCATATGGAGTGCGCCATTTAGTACATTATCCAATTTAATTCGACGCGGCTGTTAATATTAATACGAACGTCGGCAAAGTAGGTATTTAGAAGAATCTCTTTTATCGACGTCCATTACATTTTTAGACGTGTTTCATTTCACCTTAATGGTGGCGAAACGGCGGCGGCAAAATGGCGGCGACGAACCGTCATGTATCACATCCAACACGATCACGTAATGGATTTCCTTGCAGATATATTTGGAATCGGCGCAGAGCGTACAGAATCGCAAGGATCCCCAGTTCCAAACTATGATATCAAAACTCAGCGTCAGTGTTGAGTTGACTGGAACAAAAGACCGGATGTCAGGATGTCTTGACAGGCTCCTCAGACTGCTGTTACAACAGCGCGGCCTCGAAATCTATACGCACTGGCTTCGCAGTGCACCTCAATAGTCGCACCCGGGTCATGGCCGATACGTGGCCAGAACTGGGGCTTTCCGTGAGTTTAATCTTCAAAGACTCGGACACTTTTCGCTCCTTTGGCTCGTGTCATAGATAGTTATATTCGTCTTAACACCCGCTATCAGGTGGTAAATATAAAAATATAGCATTCCATTTTTAAATTGGAAGGGAACCTTCATATCTCGGAAGTGACTACACCAACGATGGCGTCGTTAACAACAAATTAAAAACATATATGTATGTACCGTGTAACTTTTATTCGGCACATGTTTTCTAATCCCCACGAATTCGAAGATATTAAAGGTATTATTAGTTACTGAACCATCCGTTACATTATCACTGGATGTAATTTCAATAGCGGATCTACGACATCGTTGATAAACCGCTAAAAACGCTGGACCTAATTTTTCAGCCGATAGGCATTCAGACATATTCAAACTACCTAATGGAGGTAATACAAGTTGTGAATTTAATAAAGTTGCATGCTATGGCAACATGGTAAAGACTTTGCATTAAGTTCAGAGCGCTGCAATTTCACTGACCCCGGAGATAATCCAACTGTTCCTCAATGAGTGGTAGAATCTCTGGCTATAATTTTGTTTACCTCGCTTTAATGGAAAACGCACGTTCTGATTATATTCGACGTCTTTCGGGTTATTACGTCAAAAGACGAATATTTGAAAGTACGATTGGCGTTGATTTTCCTTTTCATAGCATTCTTGTAAAATGCCCGATATTCGATGTGTAACATGGTCTGCTCGAGAAGCACTAGGACCAATCTGAAGTTTTTCATACGAATGCGTTGAACTCGTTGATATTAAATAGTTCTGTTACAATCTTGTCATCCTTCGGATTCATAGTAAGCCGGTAGCCGAACAATTTAAGCGCGCTCTTGCGCTCTTAATCTCTCGGAACCTTCATCTGATATATTCATTCATGAAGATGTTCACTGATTCTCTTGACATTGGCCGAAAAGCGGGAAGTATCCATCGTTCAGACTTAAGGACACCTTTAGCATTTAGTTTTCTCGTCTTAAGGTGGAATGAAAGTAGCGTTTGAGTCGTCAAAACGTTAATGAAACTATTTTCCGAACTGAGTGCACCGAATTATTCGAAACATTAACAGATGATTATGAAGGCCCTAAGGAAGAACCTGATGTTCATGAAATTTCATTAAAAGAGTTGTTTGTTTATTTCAAATTAGAATCAAGGACACATTTCTAACATTTTACACCTTTTGGACGTTTAGAATCGTAAACGAAGACCTGCACGCTTTAGGCATAACGCCTCAGAACACTATAGTAAATCGAGCATTACAGATCCATATAGGAAATATATTGTGACAAGTTTTATAAACGTGTTTAATAAAATTCTCGGATATCCCATAAGAACGTGTGCTGTATAAGTGCTCTTATAGCTTATGTCCACGTGCAAGTAAAACTTGCGAAAGCTGCTCTCAGAGAGTTCTTGCCATCTTGTATAAGGTTTTGCAAGTGAATTTGCGCAAGAAAATTTGTGTTCTCCCGCAAACTCATATACATGCCTGCTTTCAGAAGTTGAAGTTGCGCAAGTTGATTTCGGACCAACCCCGATATTCTTGCTGCAAGTTGCAAGCGGATTCGTATGTGTTCTGAATGTTTCGTTGTATGACACTCTCAATCCCGAATATCTTACACTCAAGTAAAATTGCAGCAAGCTTGTGACTACCGTGTACACGCCAAAGTAAGTCACTCTTGCAAGTCGTTTTGCAAGAACTTGCTAAAGCATCTTGCGGCAAAAAATTTGCTGCAAGTTTATTGGTAGTGTACCCGCAAAAGCAAGTTGCTGTAGCAAGAAGTGGCGCAAGTTACTTGCACATCAACACGAGCCATTAAAGCACAAATATAGTTACCACTACACGAGAGAGATTGCCATTGAATAATTAGAGTATAAAGAGTCCAGAATCGACGAGGTTTCTGAAGTTTTACTTCGATCTCTTTATAATTATTCTACTGAAGTGACATATGGATTATTTCATTTCGTATAATTCTCAATACAGAGGGTAACAGACGTCAACATAAATGTAAACGATTGTAACGTAGCGCGCAAACTTGTGATACGACTCGAGTATCCAAAATGGCGTTACTGCCGAAAAGAGTATAGATGAATTTTATTTTATAGACGTCTATTCAAGTACTTTCATACGATATTAACCACGACTTTCATATGATATTAACAATTCGATCTTTCGTTGCTAGCTCCGTCTTATGGTGGTCTTGTGAATGACAGTTGGTGTTGCCGAAGATTGGCATTCAATGTTGTGACTGTCAGCTCACTGGGATCCATGACGGTTACGCTTTCATAGAAATCTAGCAAGCCTTTCATATCCGTTCCCAAGCACTCGGCATCAGTTCGCTTGGGTCCTTCCGCAGTAAACCTTTTCGTACGCTTCGACTCAATGCTGGATGCACTCGTATCGGTCCGAATGTACCAAAGCATAAAGCTTTCGACCGATTCCGTTCTTTAGCTGTCTTCCCGTAATCGCACATATAAGAAATTGTCAGGACACACGTTATGCACTATCGCTGATAACGTAGACTGATTTACAAAGCGTTCTAAGACGATCATATAATTTCTGAAAGAAGCACAACGATTGATTGAACTAAACTAGCGTGTCTCACAATTCGATTATTTATTACAATTATTTATCGTTTGAACTTTAAGCACATTGTAAACTTAAAGCAATCAGTGGTGTCGGTGTTAACGACCTGGTCAGTATCAAGGTCCCTGAAATTTGTAGTAGCTTCCGAAAATGACCCACGTCTGTTGCCGCTATTGGGTCGACGTTTCACAACCATTGCATTCGTTTCATCGGCCAAACCCTGATGATATTAATCTTTGGTCTTGGGTAGTCCTATCTTATAGTGTTTGAGGTGCATTCTGATTGGCCAATGAAATAAACAGGAATAGGGATTTATGTTATCAATATTTGCCCTCATAAGGAGAACTGCAATATTTGCGAATGGTCCATTAGCGATAACAGACTCGCGTAATTCCTAGAAGCTATCACAAGTTTAAAAAAATTACTTTGGTATGAGCAGAATTTTTTCGATATCTCAAAAATATCTTATGTTTGTTATCATTAAAATGTAAGGAAAGTATCATATTAAGTATTACCGATATATAAGACAGATATAATTTCAGGAAGAATTGTTGTTTCAATATTTAAAACTCATTTCTTTTAGCTAATACAGAATTTGTAATGTATTTTTTGTAATACATGATCTTTCTTTTTTTAAGATATATGTACTCAGTATCCGCCAATGGTGAAACGCAAACGCTTAATCCAGAAGTACATGGAGGTGGACCGAGGCCAACTGTTGTTCGGGACCAAATATTTGCCTTAAGTACCATTACTAACAGGCTTCGATCTGCTTTCAATGGCCAAGATGTTGACTGGATAGATACAGGTAAATAGTGTATTCTGAATATCATTGATATTCTTTGAATTAACACGTTGGTCGCTCAGCGTAATTCGGCTAAGTTTCCGCGGGGCCCAAATCCGACAGTCGGTACGCAGACCGTAAACAGAGCGATAAACGGGATTTGATTGCTTATCGCCTTCGATCCATTGTAAAGAAAAGATTATTTAGTTCCGAAATGAAGAAAGCGATAAGCTTTCCGGCTAGAGTATTCCGAGGGATCTCATGATGGATATCCCAGATCTTTCATTTAGTCGAGAAGCATGCTTCTTGTGAGACGCACATCAGTGATTTTTTCATCCTCAAAATGTTCAGTAGACAGGGTGAAAATATATTTGAAAGTGAGGAGAGTAGTGATGACGAAGAAGTGAATTTTAGAATTGTTGCGGATGTTCGAAAGAAAGTCTGAACGCGGGTTGCACTGGATGTTCCGTGCGCGACATTCATATATATAAATTTACCGCGGACTTTGGAATGTCAAACAAATTCCCAGAAAGGGACTTACTGCCTGCTTGGGCCCATCGGGCCATTTACCAATTTAACAATTTTCTAACGCCGAAATCAGCTCGTAAATTTTAGTTTTCTACGACACGATTATATTGCCCTGTACGTCCCATCGCGGAAGTTTAGGGTTCTTTAGAATTTTCTCGGGTTGACCGTCCCTATTCTTTACCGTTTACCTTTTTTAACTTTACCGCTTACACGTGCGCGCAACATGCACACGTGCATACAGCATGTTTTTCCATCTGCACGGCAACGAGAAATTTTCCGATTTCACCCAACCGTATTGGACAGCTACCGACCAATCACGAGGCTGACTATTCGATTTTAACCGCCCTTCTTAAAATCAGTCAGCCAATCGTTATGCTAGAAATATGCTACCACCTCCTCAAAAAATGTAATGCGACCGGAGGAGGAATTCTGTAATTTTTTCTGGAAGTCAGTCACTCTCCGTCTCTCGATAATTTAACACGTCTCTCGTCAGCCTTCACCATCATCTCTGTAACAGTTACCCTTATTCACGCGTGAAGAGCTGACAAAATACTAAGTCAGTCGTCTAATCAATATTATAATAAACTTAAGCTGTTTTGTTCGCGACAGTCTCACTTGTCATTCGGGTACCTTCCTTCTGCATGTGAGCAGTTGTATGAATATCTCATTTTGCAATTCCACTTGCAAAAACCAACGGGATTCATACAACAACTGCCCGACAAACTAGCCGGGCAGAACACTGGATGTGAGAGCCTAATTTGAAGACTGATTAATTCTCAACGGAATCTCGAGTCAGGTCGGTTTTATGAGTTCGGGCACATGACTTCAATTCGTAACAGAAACAGTTTATTAACAATAACGAGTAAGTCCGATAACAATTGTAAAATATGACACTATGATAGGCGGCGGTCGCACGGTACAAATTCGCGGGTGACTATTTGGAGTCGCGGTGAGACTTGATTGTCTCTGAGAGCAGGAGATGTCCGTCTCTTGCGGTGGAAGATTTAATTCAGGTTATGCCCAGAGGAACTTTGGTCCAGGGCGCTTTCGGATGCTGTCCTCTAGGGCGGAGTTTTTTACAAAGCGTTTACTGATAAGCGTAGAGAAATTAAAGTGGGATCAATAATCGAAAGTGATTGGTTAATGAGGACTGAGAAGGGGAAAAGTTAATGTTGTTTAAGGAGGCTTAGGTGGGGAATAACAAAAATGGGCTATAGGACTAGAAGTAAACGAATCATGGGCTAAAGTACCGCGGTAGTAGATAAGAGAGCGAAGCGCTAGAGTTTCTGTTTAGACATCCATTTAAATTATGAGCATAATACGTGACTGAATCAATGGTGCTATATGACATGAGGGACACGAGAAAGAATAAACGGAACGTGAAATACGGAAGAAATAGAACACCCCGATCGTTGCAGAGAGCATTCCAAATAATTCTAGCGTTATAATTATTAAATTATGAATTAGTCCTAACAAGAATGACAAATAGAATTTCATCGAGTTCGGATTCGGATATTGAGGAAACATATGCAAGTGAAGACCTTGACGACATATTGGAAGAACTTGCTGTAGACGAAGAAGAGGAATTGGACTCTATTGATGATTCATTGAACAATATTCTGTGAAACGAATTCGCTAACAGGCAACAGACATTTCCGGTCACCGGAAAAAGCGGACTTCTCATGGATTTGCCGTCTGACATTAGCGCAAGTGAAGTGTTTTCGTTATTCGTTGATGAAAAAGTGATAAACCTTTTAGTCACAGAGATTAATAGGTATGCAGATAAAAAATTACATCAACATGAAATGATGGGTCAAGCTCGACATAAGAGATGGAAACCCACCACTTCCAAAGAAATTATGAAATTTATCGAACTAATGGTTTGGATGGGTCTAATACAGACACCGCTTGTTAGATGTTGGTCAACGAGCTCTATTTACAATTTTCCATTTCCACGCAGCAGAATGTCCCGTAATCGTTTTGAATTGCTATTAGCAAACTTGCATTTTGCAAATAACGAAACTATAGAACAGAGTAGCAGACTTGGAAAAGTTTTACCACTCGTAAACATGTTGATAGACAATTACCAGAAAATTTGTTCACCAGGCGAAGATATTGTAGTCGACGAGACAATGGTTCCTTGGAGGGGACGACTAACATTCAGGCAATACATATCGACGAAATCACATAAGTATGGTATAAAAGTATTCAAACTGTGTTCCACTAAAGGTTACACATGGTCTGCAAAAGTATATTCTGGACGAGATATCACCGGAAGTAAGGAAGTTGGCATAGCTGAAAACGCCTGCATTGAACTTGCAGATAAATTGCTAAATGAAGGACGAACCTTGTTCGTCGACAACTTTTATACGAGCAATCGGTTAGCAGTCAAATTTTTAAATTATAGGACGCATGTCGTTGGAACTGTACGGTATAACAAAAAATATATGCCCAATTTCGTAATGTCGTACCCGTTGAAGAGAGGTGAAATGATAGCACGAGAAGATAAGAACGGTATTGTGATGCTCAAATGGAGAGATGTTCGAGATGTTAGAATATTATCAACAAACCATGCACCCATCATGATTTCAAGCTCGAATTCTACATATCGCGGACGTCCTCCGAAACAGAAACCTTTGGCGGTAATTGCATACAATAATGGAAAAACTGGTATTGACCGAAGTAACCAGATGGTCTCATATGCCACTACGATACGAAAAAGCATCAAGTGGTATCGGAAATTAGCACTACATTTACTCTTAGGAACAACTATAGTAAATGCTCATATTGTGTACTAAACAGCCACAAACAAAAAAATACAGATTAGAAAATTTCTGGAAAATCTCGTTTCCAATTGGTCCGATGTGTCCTCAGAAAATACTGTGCCCGAAAACCATCAGAAGAAAATGAAGGTGTTCCACCATTTGGAGATTCATAAGAACCAGCAGGGCAAGCCTATAAGAAGGATGTGCGCCCTATGTTACAAGAAGAAGAGACAAACTGTCGCACGCCAAGACGCGAGGAAAAACATTAAAAAAAAACTAAAACATATTGTTCAAAGTGTCCAAAATCACCTCAAATGTGTTTCAAATGTTTTAACGAATACCATGCGACATAGCATAATGTGATACTTTATCCAGAATATAAATGAATAAAAAGTATGGTATAATGTGTTTTCAATATTTTTGTTGTATATCCTATATATAATATCGGAAGCATACCCGTCACCCAGATATGGGTGACGTAGCGACCAACGTGTTAAAACTAATTACAATATGACCATAGTTATAACAGTTATAAACAATTATTTTATGCTAACTCATTTTTAGTCTACATCACAGTTACTAATTTTATTATTTTCGTTACTTATCTTATAAAACCTTGATAATAATTTTGACAGACCTAAATGAGAAAGCCCTGAAAATAACGTTCTAGACTACTAAACAATAATTGTCTATGTGTACGTATAATTTAATTCAACAAATATTATTTCGATTGATTATGTCGACAAATATACTTATATAGTATCGATAGATTATATTACTAATTAATGTTTATTTCGGAAAAATATTTTGCATAGTCTTAATTAGGACAAAACAATCTACAGAATGTCCCAAAAAAAGTATTTACACTGCGGCCATTATACTGACAGATTCTGTCCCCAAGTGTCGCATTAGACGCCAAATCTTTACGCTCGATCTACACAACTAAACTGGTGGTCGAGTACAAAAAGCTGAAGCATGATCAAAAAGATGAACAATTAAACACGTAACACTTTGTGGCGCCAGGCCCTTCGAGATGTCAACTGACCTAGCACTTTGCAGAACAGGTGCTATATGCTCTAATTAAACTATGAACCAAATACACCAGCAACGTTATCTTTCTTGATCCCGGTTTTTCACAAAATAAAACTCTGCCAAATCTCCACACTCGGTAATTGCAGTAACGCTTTCGCCACTACGGAAAAGGACGGTGTTCTTGAACTAATCAGTGTGCTCCATTTTCAACTGACAAGGGAAGATCCCCAACCAGGAAATTCCAAAAATGTTGAAACTTAACCGTGGTATACAGTTTTTTATTACAGTAAATAATCCTTGATAGCGAAGTTAATGTTACGATCGGTTGAAACGAACGCATGCGAATGATTTGAGTACGACGGACTAGCGCACGTGAAGTGAAGTAGCGGATTTGAAAGATAAACCCGAGTGACTTCGGTGTCCAAGAAGGAAGGTGGAGATTTGTAGAAGATCTGACTCGATGAAGCTTGTCCGAAAAACGGGAGCTCGCGAACGGCTTCTTCGAGGGTGGAGTTAGCAATTTGAACACCGCGGATTGGTTAGTTAGGAGCGGTGATGTTAATGCAAAATTGTGACGATTGGTCGAAAAATGTTGGAGAGGGAAACTGTACGAGCAGGAGAAGGGATGTTAATAACAATCCGAAGTAGGGGTCTTTCTAGGAAAGGCAAGACGATGGAGTGAAGCATACCGTTAAACTA